CTGTGCTGATGCAAGCTTTATGGTGGCTGCAGATTTTTTCTCTGTGGGACAAGCCCAAGCCTTGTCTTTTGTCCTCGTGGCTAAAGTTGCATGTTCTTAGTGATTCCATGCTGGACTTGCTCCAAGGTGCAGGTTGGTTGAGCATCTGCTGTTGAAGGAGGAAGCAGCTACTTGCAAAGCTTGAATTGGAGTCAGTCTTTTCCTTGGAGAGTTACTTCCCGTTAGCCGTGCCGCAGAAGGTACTGAAGAGGCTAGGCTCATGCTGTAGTTCCGTTTCCTTCATGGAGAGGTTTGAGGTTTTCATTTATATCTGGTATTTGGGCCTGGGAAGATGCTGTGTGTAGTCAGTGCTTATTCAGCTTCAAGCTGCTTGTCCCTTGGCCTTGGCAATAATATTTCTTTATTTCATTTTTCCTTGTAATAGCTTTATAAGTGCTCAAGTTGCATTTCCATGTCACTGACATCATCCACGTACATCTGTGAAGGGAAGGTAAATGCTGTGTGCAACTTGAACCTGGGCCTAAATTCAAGTGCTAATTGGGTACACCTCACTTGCTACTCATTTCTGTCGTTACCAGCAAGTTTCATGCAGAGATGTGAGGGTTTCCCTCCCCCTAGTGTTTCAAATAGAAAAATTGGGACTTTTGGAGAGCACTGGAAAAAAACTTTCTATTTTCTCATTTTAGGGTGAGTGAAGTGCTTTTTAAGATAAGGTTTTACTCGCTCAGAATGTATGAAGATTTTTAACTAAAATATGAAGATTTTTAACTAAAATATGAAGATTTTTAACTAAAATATGAAGATTTTTAACTAAAATATGAAGATTTTTAACTAAAATATGAAGATTTTTAACTAAAATAATTTCAGCATTAGAGAATAATTCCTGTGTACTGTAGACATAAACATCAACGGTATATTTATTGTTTAAATGTAACAAATTTTGTCTTATGATGAATATTCTGTAATGTGTATGGTGATACAGTACAGAAGAGTTGTAAAATTTAAGTCCATATCCAAATATGCTGCCAGTGCGATTGAGACTGGGACTTTCTGCCCAAATAATATGCTTTATTTTGCTTCCTTCAAAATAATATTTCTATGCTTAACTTTTATTTTTCTGACCTCCCAAAAGGCAAAAATACATGCTAAAATGGCATAGTGTGCAGATATTTATAGTGCTGTCTCTTTCTAGTATTCATTATTCTGCATGCAGAAATACACAAGCATTTATACTACAAGTTTTTCAGTATGCCAGATAGTACAATTTTATGTGCTAAGTTATAAATTATGAAGTTCATGTTCTTGAAGAAGTAAAATAAGTTTAAGATTGGTAAGGGGGAAAGTTGCATGTATTTCAACGTTCCTTAACATTTCTGCTAACTCCCCCCCCCCTTTCAAAATTCCAGCAGCTTTGCATTCCTAGCTTCGTGACACATCAGAAACTTGAACCTGGAGTTCCCACATCCAAGGCCAGCAGACCATCCATTACATTTCACAGTGGTTCGCTCTTTCCCCAAAATGCCCATATGGAAGGGGCTTCTGGAACTCATTCTGTAATGGGGAGTACTGTTTACCTCTCTGTTGTGTGTGTAACTTTAGTCAGAACTAATTTCCCCTTTGAATAATTACCTTTAACAACACACTCCACTTCATTTCTGATGTGAAATTGTTGAACACACTTAGCTGGATCTGTAACTGGGTGAGTATAAAGCTGCCACTGCCTCGTGGTCGGAAGTAACTTTTTCTCTCCTAATAACAAAGTTCTTTTCAAACCTCCTTTCCTGCTTTGTGGGTTTGGCAATGAAGAGATCTACCTCTGGGTGCTTGTAGTAGGATACAAAGCATCATTTGTAGCTGCTGCTCAGTAGGTTAGTTGGTTCTGTCTGAAATCAGCCTACCCTGTAACACTGTCATATCAGTTCTGAAGTGCTGTGCCTGGGGGTGAGGGGGAGTAGGCCTACATTGGAAATTAACTGGATACAACTTGTGATGTCTGTGTTTATTTGAGTGACTCTTCCCCATTAAAGGGGTTGCTTATTTTTGCCTTTCTCTCCCTTCCTCGTGACTACTCTGTGGCCATACATTCTGTTTCTCTGCGGTTTTCTCTCTCCTTGTAGTTGTAGGGGTAAGTTGGACTATGCTGTCTTGCTAACAGAAGCACAGAGCTCTCTTAGCACTCAGGAGATTAACTGAGTTGTTCTTCACCTGCTGCATTCTGCCAATGATCACACACCTATCCCCCCCCCTCATCTTCACATTGTTAGCCTTAAGTAAGAATATTGGGGGGGGGGAGCTCTAGTGTGCAGCCATATTGCACTCACATCTGTGTGCACCAGAAGGGCTAGGGCTGGTTTTAATTTCCTCTTGCTCATTTAAGTGGACTCCCTTTGGGAGCCTTGTGCTCGCCTTGCTGTTGAAATATTCCTTTTCAGTTTGATTTCCATTAATAGCTGGTTCGTCCATAGGCTGTAGTTTTCCATGGCTCCTCGTGTAAGTTTCTCCCTTCTAGAAAGGCCTGTCCCAGGATTTCTTTAACTTTTGGGAGCTGAGGCACACTACTTCTGTGTAATTCTAGGGCTTTCTAGAAGGGAGAAACTGACACGAGAAGCCATAGATAACTACTCTGTTACTGGCACACTATACTTTTTCACCCATAGTTCTGCAGTATGAAAGAGTAAGAGCTGTGCACCCTCAGAGGAGGCTACACTCATTTGTTTCTGCCTCCTGGTGGAAGGAGACCAGGCCAGAGCAGTGACTCATGCAGAAATACAGTAGATAGCCGCTTCTGTCAAAGAGTGACTGTGGACTCCTAGGCCTTGAGTTATTTAATTTCTTGAAATTTACAAAGATTTCTGTGTAAGAATAACAAAGCTGCCAGTTGGCAACAATAATGCCAGGTGCAGGCATTAAATCATAACATTTATAAACAATGGGAAGTCTTATGTAAACCATGAAAAGTCTCTTTAAACAAAATGGAATTCACCTAGGATATGACTCTTGAGGAGGCAGAGGTCCCTTATGCCATGCTCAAACTTGCACTTCCTGATTTTTTAATATATCTATGTATATTGCTTTTTTGCTGCCTTCCCTTCTCTTTTTTTGTTATTTTTGCACGTGTGTGCGCGTGTCCATGCTGGGAAGTCATGGCGACCTATGGCGACTCCTACTGGGGCATGGAGGACATTCAGAGAAGTAGCTTGAGAGCCTGCCTCTGCCTTCCGACCCTGGTATTCTCTGGAGGTCTCCCATTCAAATACTTGCCAGGGTTGGCCCTGCTTGGCTTCCAAGATCCAGGTCAGGGTGCTGCCTCCCCTTCTTGATCTTGTAGGGGACAGAGGAACCCTGCATATGGGGGTGCAAAGTTAAAATGTGAAATGCATAGCTCTGCAGCACTGTTTATCTTGATGTTGGATCTGCACTTGATCAGCTATTCAGGGGCCCCGGTCACACAGCAAAGTTGCCGCGGGAGAGGCACGGATGGTGGGCGGATTATCCGGGCGCGATCACACCCCAACATCTGGGAAGTGGAGCGCACCCGTGGCTTACCACCGACAATGCGCGTTAAAAAACTAGTACCTCCAAAGTACTAGTAAATGTTTGCCACGGGCTGCCTCCAGACTCCCGTGGTGTGATCGCGCCGGCACGCGGCATTCCCCTCCGGTCCCTCATTTACCTGCTGGCGCCAAGGGAAGGACCCGTGGTGTGCTGCCGGCATGTCTGATCGCGTAATCGTGGATCAAACTGCGCCGGGGCAATTAGCCACGCCTCCCCCCCCCGCGATATCCGGCTGTGTGACCGGGGCCAAAGTTAACTTTTTAAAACAGGTACATAGAGCAGGAAACTTTCCAACTCTTGTTGCTGACAGAGACTTCACTGACAGCTTGTGGCCCCCACATAGGTCCGATTCACGCATGTGGGTTCATCACTTGTTCATATAGTGTCCTGTGCATGTGAATGGGTCAGCACAGATCAAATGCTGTGGACAGAACCTCCACATCTTTGCTCACACAGATCCTTTCCATGGGGAGCCTTTTCGCTTATTAAGCCGTAATTCAGCATGTTATCGGCTGATGAGAAATCATGCTGTATGCAGGAGTGTGTGAGCCAAGTATATTCTTCTCATGGAGCGTTGTAGTTGTCAGATAAGAACATAAGAATATAAGAGAAGCCAATGCTGGATCAGGCCAGTGGCCCGTCTAGTCCAACACTCTGTCACACAGTAGCCAGAAATACCAGGTGCCATCAGGAGGTCCACCAGTGGGGCCAGGACACTAGAAGCCCTCCCACTGTTGCCCCCCCCCAAGCACCAAGAATACAGAGCATCACTTGCCCCAGCCTAAGAGTTCCTATCTATACCTTGTGGCTAATAGCCACTGATGGACTTCTGCTCCATATGCTTATCTAATTCCCTCTTGAAGCTGTCCATGCTTGTAGAGTGGCAGCGAATTCCATGTGTTAATCACTCTTGGGTGAAGAAGTACTTCCTTTTATCTGTTCTAACCCGACTGTTCAGCAATTTCATTGAATGCCCATGAGTTCTTGTATTGTGAGAAAGGGAGAAAAGTACTTCTTTCTCTACCTGCTCTAACCCATGCATAATCTTATAAACCTCGATTATGTCACCCCTCAGCCATTGTTTCTCCAAGCTAAAGAGCCTCAAGCGCTTTAACCCTTTTATCATTCTAGTTGCTCTTTTCTGCACTTTTTCCAATGCTATAATATCCTTTTAGAGGTGTCTGATTTGTTTTCAATTTCCTTCCTAATAATCCCCAGCATAACATTGGCCCTTTTTTATTGCAATTGCACACTGTCTAGACATCTGGCCTAGTCTTTGTGAGTCTCTGATTAGGGGCTCCCCCCCTTAGGGCTGTAATCATTTTTGTAGGAGGGAGTAGTAGAATTTTTGGGGTGGGCAGGTGAGTGGGTTGGTAGTCTCTGGGTCTACAGTCACCGAGTCAAAGTACTGCTAGAGTTTAATGTTTTATTTTTTTTTAATACAGCCTCTGACTATGGCATGAAACTGCCGATCTTGCGATCCAATCCAGAGGATCAGATTCTGTATCAGACAGAACGCTACAATGAGGAAACTTTTGGATATGAGGTCCCCATCAAGGAGGAGGGGGATTATGTGCTTGTGTTGAAGTTTGCTGAAGTCTATTTTGCACAATCCCAGCAGAAGGTAAGTAGGTATGATCTCCCAGTGGGACTCCATTGGTTAATTCTGAAATCACTTAGGCCTGCTTATGGCTTTCATGTTTGGGTGTCTGTCAGGTATTCTCTTTTCATTAATGGACAAAAGCAACACTTGAAAGTAGCAAGAGTACTTCTGAGGGCTAAACTGGTCCCGTCAGTATTGGCAGAAAGGTGAGCTGACCTTCAGGGTTCATCCCAAAATGCGTGTGCTGCTTGCTGCATTATTTTTCACTGAACTTAACTCTTTTGGGTATGCACACAGTTAATTCACACAGTTACTTGGGGAACGTGCTCTTCTTGGGAGAGCAGGTCTTTCCTCTTCCCCCTCCCCAATTTCTGTTGACACTTGTAGAACCTGTTCTGCCAGAAGAGCCCACAGTTACTCATGTTGCTTTTATTAAGCTTGAAGATCCTTTGGGCGTTGCCATTCTGCCTGAAAAAAGAGCTCCACATCTTGGCCTACTCTTGCCAAAACCCTAAGCATGAAATTTGGAAGGCAGAATCTCTTTTAGGGTAGTCTCTGCTGGTGGCACAACAGCCAGGTTTTTTGTTGCGCAGAATTTTTCAACAAGCATCATATAAAGCTGTCTCGCTAGTGAACTGGAATTTGAACTAGGAAATTGAGCTCGAATTTGAACCAGGTTTTCTTGGTCCTAGTCCAGCACTCTAACCACTATGCTAACTTGAAAACCTTAATACTTCTAAACCAGCAAAAGTTGACAGGTTAGTTGTTTTGCTGGCTTCTCCCTTTCTGCCATTGGACATTAAGAAGACCAGCAGTCCTTTACACTGCAAAATGGAAACTAGATGTCTGCCCCCACTTAGAAGAATGGAAAAATAAATTTGCCAAATATGCAGTAATGGCGAAATTAACAACTTATCTGAAATACAGATCAATCATAAAATTTGAGGAGATGGAGTGTGTACTATGCAAGCAGGAGACAAATTTAGAATGAGAAACAGTTAAAAAAATTGTATGTAAATGTATTGAAATACAGAAGCAGAACGAGAATACATTTTAAATGTAATGTCTTGAATATAAATGTGTAAAGAAGTGGATCCAGAGCAGAAATATTTTCCACTTTCTTATTATGAGATATATAATTTTCTTTCTATACTCTGATATATTACCTATTGTTAAAAGTTACAGTGAGTAGGTAGAGGTGGCAAAAATATGTAATAGCAAATATGTAGTAAAGATGAAACCAATAATGTAGATGTAAACTAGATTAGTTACGAAATTTGAAATTTAAAATGTTGAATATAAATGTACCCCAACAGAAGCAAGTACCATTGTATCCTATAGACAGTGTTTTAAAAACTATAATGAAGGGGGTGTTAGGGAGAAATGCTTTTTGTTTCATACACTCTGTGATATGTAATTATTTTTGATATACCTAATTGTGCTATGTAACCCCTTTTTTGTTTCTGTAGCCCCTTTATACCTTTAGTTGGTTTTCCAAAATAAAAAAAGACCAGCAGTTCTTAAAGGAGGACCGTAAAGAGCACAGAGGCAGGCAATGGACTACCTGGTTGTCAGCAGATAGGGGAGAGTGACGGAGGATGAAATGGGATGGGAACAACCAGAAAGTCTTAATAAGAACTATGGTTTGGTTGGGATGTTCAAATGTCAGAGGGAGTGGAAGCATCCCCAAATTAATTGTATTTCATCATTTTATATACGCCACACTGGACATCCTTATGGGTTAAAAGAAGAGTTAGAAATATATGCCAGTTACCTGCTGGTGGTTATTCCATCCATGGTGCTGTTAGTTGACAATCAGTACTCTGTAAAAACAACAGGCCTGATTCCTTTCCTCTCGTTTTCCGTTTTCTCCATCCAAAAGGTTTTTGATGTGCGTGTGAATGGGCACATGGTAGTGAAGGACCTGGACATCTTTGATAGAGTTGGGCACAGTACAGCCCATGACGAGGTTATTCCTATCAGCATCAAGAAGGGGAAGCTGAGTGTTCAGGGAGAAGTTTCTACCTTCACAGGGAAGCTCAACATTGAGTTTGTCAAGGTAACAGACTCTGGCTTGAAGACCTTTTTTCCTTTTTGCCTCTCTAATGCAGAAAGCAGAAGCCAACGTATGACCATATATCATATGCTTAATAGGTATTTCTGAGGCAGGGTGCAGATACATCAGCATTGTTCATTACTTAGTATTACTAAGTCCCCACCACTGCATTGTGCGGGAATAGTCTAAAAAAGGAATCAAGAATGAAGCTTATGTAAGAACAGGCTTCATTCTCAATTGTGGGGAGGGAAACTGAGATCAGCACAGAGGCTGGAAACAAATTTAGCCCTAATTAATGTCTCTGAGAGCATCCTGTCATTTACATAAAAGGAAGTAAGTGACTGTCATTCATTTCTAGGGGGAAACCTGCTCTTGGGGTCACTGTTGATAGGGACAACATAACTTGCACCCTGCTACAGACAGTGGATGTTGCATCCTTTGACACAAATCCTACATCGAGAGTACAATATATTGTACACTGTGCCTCCAGCACAACCCTACCCTCTATGCGTATGCTTGCCTGTATTCATGAAGGATATTATGCTACCTATTGATAATCTTCCCTTCTTGCCAATTCTGGGACTTCCAGTTTTGGACGATCAGAGATCATCTTTCAAATTGAGTAATATTGAGAAGGATCAATGTGAATGTAATCCATTAAAGCTAATTATCCTAAAATCAAAATTTCTGTGATTCTTATTAGTAGAGCTTGAACCTTCCTTTCCACTGTCTGCAGTAGTATGCAAATCTGCCAAACAACAGTGTTCTGAAATTTGGGGGGCACATGCACCTCTTGAATTTACTTCAGGTCTAGCTTTCTTTCTATTACTCTACGTCAAAGCCAGTGTAAGTATTTGTTGAGCAGTTCCTGGACTGCAGTGATCCCACTGCTGATCCCTGGCACAGCCTTAGCTATTGCCCCTTGCCATTACTCTCAGCATTGGCACTGAGATCAGACCTTCTGAATGGATTTAACCCTTCTGCATTGGTGCATACTCTGTGACTGGTGGCAGTGGATGGCTCTGGTTCGTCCCCCTTATTGTCCAGCAAGCTTGTCACAATTTGCCCATCTGTGCAAGCAATGCTGGTGGCTAGGAGTGGCTTTTGCTACTGAGAGGCAGGCAGGCAAGGAGGTGGCAGGACCTTGATACTCTTTTGCCTGAGTGGGTAAGCTGCTATCAGTGACCTGCATGCCCGTCTCACTTGAAGCACTGAAGGGATTGTCCTCCCCCTGGAAGTAGCCTCTCTTCCCTGACTCAGCAGATATGCTGCCACTTCCTTCTCCGGCTCCTCTTCTGTGTAGCAGGAAGAAAAGTAAGTTGGCTTGCTTGTTTGTCCGCCTGCACTGAGCAGACAGCGTTGACTGCTAGGAGCAATTACTTCCATTGATCAGTGGGAAAGGGGCAAATGAGGTGGGCAGCTGCTTCTACTCTATCACCGTGGATCTGCTTAGATGATGGTTGGTAAACAGAGCTGCCACTGCCTGCTCTTTGCACTGAAGGAAGGAAGGAGCGGCCTCTTGTGCTAGTGACCTAATAGGTGGGAGGAGAGAAAGGCCTGTCTGCTTGCATCTTGCCAAGGGCCTTGCCCAAACCTGAAGCTTGCCCATAAGAAGAATGGAAACTTCTGAAGGCTTAGATCTTCGCATGAATTGAAGACCTTTTAAAAGCACTATGCTTACAATGGGCAATTGCTTTGCCTTTAGCCAGGCTTCCATTGAATTGAAGGAAGGGGTCAGGCAGTTGCATTTCCCCTTGATTTAATCACACTTGTACAGGTTTACTTGTTCCACATACAAGGAAACTATTATCAGGCAATTTGAATAGGCCAATGTTTAGTAATAAAGCTGACCTCTGCTTTCTATTTCTCCAGGGGTACTATGATAATCCAAAAGTCTGTGCACTGTATGTCCTTCGGGGAACAGTAGATGGTGAGTTTCCTTTTATAGTTCTGATTTTAGCCCTCTCTTTCTTCAAGTCCCCAGCTACTCTGTGGGTGCGGTCAGACGGTTTGCTGAGAGCGGGTTAAACTGCTTCGGTTCTAACCGGATTATATTTGATCTGGATAATCGCAATCACACTTACCTCCCTTATCCCGCCTCACTGTGCAGTCACGTTGCTCCCCAGCGTCTACACTACTGAAGCACGGGAGTGTGTGTCAGTGGGGTTCCCCCCCCCCCAGTTTGTGCATGCGCATAGGTGCCCCTCTGTAGAAGGGGGGGGAACTATCATGGCACTTGCACAGAACAATCAGGGCAAATTAATCCAGCCCCTCCAACGAAAGACTTCCCTTTAAACGTTTGACCTGAAAATGGTCTCCGTGAAATCCGGAACTCATCTAAACGCTAAAACAAGTGGCCGTTTAAATGTTGGTTTTTTAAACGCGGTGGCAGAGCTCCGCCTATGCACACACCGCCAACATATTTAAAAAATGGCGGGCAAAAAGCGGAAGCCTCGGGCAGCTTTCGAGCGGGGAGGGGGTTTAAACCGGAAGTGGCTTGACACCGCAAGAGCGATCAGACGTCAGAAAAGTGCGGCTAGAACCGGAGAATCAGGAAAACACCACTGGGGACCTAGTAACAAAATGCTTTGTTTTAAAGGGGGTTTGAGCCAGAAAGCGATGGCTGGGGACGGTGCGCAGATTATGGGTGTGTGAACATGGATATAAAATCCGTTACTGAAGCGTGCCGAAAGCAGACTAAACGGCCCGCCTGAACGCACCCTGTATGTCATCACAAAGACCTGTAAGGGAGAAGCCAAAAGGTTGGTCACCAAGGAGAGTGTTCTTGTCAGGCCACACAGCCCTCCTGTGCCCCATTCAGTGTCCTGCACAGGCAATCCAAGGACAGTACAGCATCATGTCAAGACTGTGGACAGTCCTTCAGAGTATGTCTTGCATCTCTTAAGTTGCTCTGTTGGGCAACTGATGGTCGCAGGACCCTACTAACTTCGTCGTCTAAATTTGTCCTGCATAGCTTTAGTCTCCTCCCCCATGCAACTGGTCATTACAGAGCCCTACTGTTCTGTCCTCTGTCTTTTTCTTGCCTGATAAGTACAGAAGCCACAGGCAGGTTCTGTTTGCTCTGTCTAGCCTTCATCTTGTATCAGGTCCTCTGAAATTGCAAGATTTTTGGACATACATACCCCCAATTCATATTTTGTGACAAGGAATATGAAGCCTTTGCACTTAGGTCAAAGCATATCTTATGGTGTGTATTGGTTAGGTGTTCATCAGTTTAAATGAATATGGCAATGTCTGAGGCTTTTACAGAATTCAAAATAATTTTGGTAAGTAAGAAAGCCCCATATTCCAAATAATTTTATTTTCTTCAAATTGGGGAAGTGTTTTGTGTTTGGATTTGAAAAAAGCAGACATAGTTTGTGGCTTGCTTAGACATTATGCAGAGGTAAAAATGGGTGCGCCACCATGCATGCTCAATAGGGTGCTGCTGCCAGACTTCCTCCTGAATATATCTGTGTGGAATACATGTTTACGAATGTGTGTTTCTTGCAGTCACATTTCAAACATCGGTGCACATCTGAAAAATGTAATAAGTGATGTGATGTTGCATCTTTCTAGCATGAATTTTTGCTTCTGCTTGAATGTGTATGGTAGAGGCCCTGGCATTTCTTCTCTTCCACAGATGTTCCAAAGCTGCAGCCCCACCCGGGCTTGGAGAAAAAAGAGGAGGAGGAAGATGAAGAGGAGTATGAGGAAGGCTCCAGCACTAAAAAGCAGACCAATAAGAACCGGGTCCAGTCGGGCCCCCGCACACCAAACCCCTATGCCTCGGACAACAGCAGCCTCATGTTCCCTATCTTAGTGGCCTTTGGTGTCTTCATTCCTACCCTCTTCTGCCTGTGCAGGTTGTGAAAGACAAAACAGCAAGGCTGGAAGGGAAGGAGCCAGAGCAGACACAGCAGATGTTTTGGTTTCTCCTCGTTTCTCATAATTTAAGGAAAATAAAGGGTTGTTAAGGAGTACCAGGTACAATCCAGGGCAAGTTTGTACCACACTCTTTGAGGAGGGTGTCCTTCATCTCCCCCCTCCCCCTCAGCAGCAAGGCTTTGGGTCCTACACAGCCATACCAGAAGCAGCCACCTGTCCTGTCCAGAGAATCTTGATGTGAAGACTGGATACTTCTGGCTAAAAGATGTTGCTGAACTACAGCCTTCCCTCCCCCCCAAGGAAAGGAAGAAGTAAAAAGATGGGAAATACTAACCAGGGAGGGCAGAAGTTCAGATGTTGGCTTTAAAAAAGCAGACTTTGCCTTTGAGCTTCCTTGGATGGAATAAAACGTGTGCTAGAACTGCTGGGGGTGGGTGGGTTAGATGGGCTTTTTGACATTTGTAACTAAACTCATGGTACTTCCTTTCTGTTATGAAAGAGAGAAGGTTCACCCTTGCTGGATGGTCTGTTGGAGTCAGGGTTGTCATTAGAGCAGGGTGAGCAAGTTGACCTGATTGAGTTGCTCAGGCTGTATGAAACATTCTTTGCTCGGTCACTGTAATGCAAAACAGCTTCTGCCTTGCAGGCTCTTTTGTCATGTCATTTGTAACATGGATGTTTTTGTTTGTTGGGGTGGGGGTGCTCTTTTATATGTTACTTTCCGCTTCCATTTTTCTCTCCACAGTAGAAAGACTCTTGGTCTGTCTCCTACTTTGTATCATGACAAGAACCTGATAGGTAAACAGCAGTGGATATCTAGGATAGCAGAGCAGGTTGTGTACTTTTCCATGGGTTGCCTCTGATTTCCTTGAGCCAGAAGCCTTGCCACCTTTGGAGCTGAAGAGACATCTCTGCCTGTACGGGTGACGGGGGCCTCGGGCTCAGCTTTGTTCCCTGATCTTAGAACTCTTTGAACTGCATCTGGAACCTAAAAGACTTAAGTTCTGATGGTCTATGCCATTTTCGCTTTCAAAGGGTTGGATGTGTATCAGCTGTACTCATTTAAGTGCAACATTGACATAGTTCAAATTAGTTCTTGAAAACTAGTGGCATCCCTATAAATGCGAAATGGAAGGTGGCCAGTAGTTCTTGTGTCTGTGGAATATCCACAACACAGTGCAAAGTTGGATCAAGTGGGCATCCACTCCTAATTCTGCTAAGAGATTTTGGCATGTGTCTGAGAGGAATGTTACTCATTTTTCTTCTAGTATGGGAAGAGCCATGAGCATTGATGTGGTCTGTTATAATGATCTTTCATGGACCGACCCTTTCCATAGAGACCTTTTTCACTTCATGCCCACTAGAAAATCATCATGCCCACCCTGGTCAGGTTAATCGTTGCAATGTGTTCTTCCCTGGACCTTTAAATTTTCCCCAGCTATAAGTTTCAGCACACCTCTGAATGGCTTAAAAAGTGCAGCTCAAAGATGTGATAATAGAAGGTCATTCCGGTGCCAACAACTGAATGTGCATAAGCCTGACTGGCTACTGATCCCTTCCAGGTACAGTGCTAGAGCATGTGGGGAATAATGTTACAACACTATTGCCAACAAATGCATTAAACAACCATCTATTCCTCTTCCTCCCCAACTTGGAAACACACTTCAAAGGAAAGCCTGTCTAAATGTGAGCCTCTGCTGTGCTTTTGACCCCAAAATGCTTTTTGGATTAAACATGACAGGAGATATGTCTTAAACCCCCCATCCTACCTGTTAGCTTTCTGTTCCAGTTTTCCCCTTGGCTGTTGAACCTCATCTAACACTTTGAGAAGCTGGTAAGAATTAGGTACTTCTAGTTTAAGGTTGAGTGTCCTGTTACAGTACATCATGTTCGTTTGCCACAGTTGTTCCATCTCCTTTTTTCTTCTTGCAAGTTCTAGACGTTGCTTAAAGCGACAGGAAGTAGTATTTGCTTCATTAGGTCCCAAAACTATAAAGAGTGGATTTGAAAGCCTTCAGCAATAGCAATTCTGGCTTGCTGACTTGGCCTACTTACTCTTCATAGCAAGTAGATGGTACATGAGCTCAGAGGTACGTGATCTTGTGGCCATAAGCATAGGTAAGGTGCTTTTTTTTATCTGTTCTTACTAGCGTCTTTCCTGGCTATGCTACACCCACTGTCATACAATTATTATTATTAGTAGTAATAGTATCGTTCCTTTCTGGTTACCTTTTAGTTGCTGTTTAGAGGCTTGTTTACATATTTACTTATGAGAAGGTTGTCTCATCTCCCCCTTTAGAATAGCCAGATTCCTTCTAGGGTCATCTTGTTTCCACTGTCTGCTGATTAAAAACAAAGAAGTTCTGCAAGAACAGCCTTTCTTAGAACAGAAACATTGCAGCTATTAGTGGCACATGGTAGAGTCTTGCAACCCTGGATCTGTTACTCACTCTCTCCAGCCCTGCATTTCCATGCATCAAAAAGACTGATGGCTATTGATCACTTCATTGAATGAGCCCTGTCTACCCCCTTTCAGAGTGTTGTGACTCCCTTAAGGAGGAGGTTTGCTGTAAGGTAGCAGGCTTTGGCCTTGAAAATGCATGAACCAGACCGCTTCAAAAAGAGATATGGAACTTCTGCTCAGTCATTAGGTGGTGGAGACTGCAGGAATTAGCTCATGTTGCAAGAGCTGACTTCCATGAGGAAATGCTGTAATTTATTTGGTTTGTACTTCATGATAAATTGGAACAGGGCGCTGATAGTATCTGCTGATTCAAAAGACATTTCTTTCAGCAAGAGAACAGATTCTCCAGTACCAATGCCTAGGTGTGGGGAGAAATAGCTAGCTAACTTTATTCTGTACATGTACTGTTCCATTCATTATGTATTGAAAGGCTGAGAAGTCCACCTTGCCTGGAAATTGGAGTCCCCAGTTTTATTCACACAATAAGGATGGTTCTAGTTTACTTTCTGACTTCAGTTGCTTTGGCGGTAATGAGAAAGCCTGAAAGCTTCCTTCCTTCTCTAGTGCTTTTTATGCTATAGAGAGCTGTCCCATTGGGAGTGTGTGTGAGGGTTCTTCCTAGTGGAAATTAGAGGAATGCCAAAGTGAATGTATGCATTTGTTGTGCCTTTTTATTTTGGGGTTAGTAAGATGGCAACTTTTGCTTATAAGGAAGCTTCTGTTTTAAGGAACTT